AATCCCCCTGCCCAGAAGCCCTACCCCAGCCTCTGCACCCCCGGGGGGATGGGGAGGCTGACCAGACAGGGAGAAGACCCAGCCTTGGGGGTAGCTGCAACCTGTATCGCTGACTCCCAACCTCTTCCCCTGCCACCCCCGCCAGGGGCGCCCACAACAATAGCATGCCTGCGACAACCCTTCAGCGGCCCCGAGGCACCTGAGGCCCTTGGCCTGCCGCTGCTGGGCCCCCTCCGCTGGGGCCAGGCACGCCTCTCCTCCCTACAAGGTGAAGGCAGGCCTAAGCGGCCCCTCAGGGTCAGACTCATCCCCCCCAACAACCCCTCCCCGACAACAGTGGCGCCATCTCCGAAGCAGAAGTGCACTGAACCTTGCCGGGGGTGCGGCTAAACCCGCCCTCCTAGCCCACTAAGCCGTCAGTTGGATATCCCCCCTGGGCTCCCAGACTGTGAGAGAGCACAGGCCACACTGAGGGACCCCTCTCCCCCAGTGCAGGAATTTCGTTCACCGGACCTCTAGTATATATACATATAGCTAAGGCTTAGTGCATACTCCCTGGTGGCCCCACAGCAGGGCATCCTGGCAGCCTTCTGTATATGTGTACACACATACACACATATATAAATATAAAATAGAGAAATATGCTAATTAACTGGGATGCTGTAACGGGTCGATTGCACTGGAGGAGGTTGCATGTGCAGTTTTGGGGGCGGGGCGGCAGGGGCCTCCGAACGCCTGCACTGGGGGAGGGCCTGATCAGCAGTGGCAGTGGCTGCTTCAAGGGCCAGAGAGGGAGTGGGTGGTGCTGCATGATTTAGTAGTTACATAAGTGCTTTGTACATTATTTAGTGTATATTTTGCTTATACAACTTTTTAAGTTTATGGATACCTAAGTATTTACCATATTACATAGTTATTTGAGGGGATCTTTGATCACATGCTAGTTAGGTGTACTAATTCAGTTGAAAATTGAAAACAATTTTTTAAGAAATATGTTTTTATTGATTTTAGAGAGAGGAAGGAGAGGGAGAGAGAGACACATCAATGAGAGAGAAACATCAGTCAGCTGCCTCCTGCACGCCCTCCACCTGGGATTGAGCCTACAACCCAGGCATGTGCCCTCACTGGGAATATAACTGGTTACCTCTTGGTGCATGGGACGATGCTTAACTAACTGAGCCACAACAGCCAGGGCAAAAACCAATTTTTATATTTAGGTTATAGAAGGCCCTTGTAAGCTATGAAATGAGTCATTGATCCCTAGGCTAATAAAATGCATTACCTTTTCTTTAGAGGTAAAACATTAAGTTGATGATTGTGATTTGTTTCAATACTTGAGTTATTTTTATTCATATCTGAAATGAAGTGAACTTTAAAATAAAACTTAAGCATTGCCAGAGAATGTGTAGATTTGTTTTTCTGTGGACTAGTGATCATTTTTGTCATCAGTGGCTGTTACTACTTTTATAGGTAGTAATATATTTAACATGTTCTCCTTACTTCCCAGAATTAGTCTTTTTTGTCATATCAAAGTGCTAAATAGATTTGTGGTCCTAATTGTAGTCTAGTGGTCCTTCACGTTATTTTGACCTGCATTTGACTCATTCCAGTGTTGAGCCAGGTCTCTCTTGCTAGAGGAGGGTTCTTCGACCAAAATAAGTATTTAGAATTCTTGTGTAGAATAGCGCTACTTCCTAGAGTTTCAGGGTCTTCTCTTATTTCGTTTACACTAATATTTTGATTTCTGATTTGGTTGGTTAGGTTTTGAGCCCGTGGTGATAGAGAACGTTTTAGAAGGTGATGAGCTGCGCACAGACCTGAAAGCAGTAGAAGCTAAAATCCAGGAACTTGGGTCTGATAATGTGCTTTGTGTTCATTCTACTACATCCTGTTTTGCTCCAAGGGTACCTGACAGGTAAATGATTTATGAATATTGTCCTTTAGGTATTCATCAGTCTTTTATATATGTATTTATTTTATTTATGTATTTATTTATTTTAAATATATTGTTATTAATTTCAGAGAGGAAGGGAAAGGAGGAGAGAGAGAGAGCTGCCTCTTGCCCTCCCCCACTGGGGACTGAACCCACAACCTGGGAATGTGCCCTTGTCTGTAATCGAACCCTGGACCCTTCAGTCTGCAGGCTGACACTCTGTCCACTGAGCCAAACTGGCTAGGATTTCATCAGTCTTTTAAATAAAGTATACATATACTAATTTTCAAAGATGCCTAAGTAACATTTGGCAGTAAATAGGTGAATGGACTGTTCCAAGAGAATAAATTGACCTTGTATAGAATAGTGCTATTTACTGAGAAACAGCATCATCTCTTGAGAAAATAAAAATTTGATATAGAAGGAAAAACAACAAGTACCAAGTGGAGATTCCTTTGTCACCTGAGTAGATACAGAGCATCTGTTTCTTGCTCTTTTTTCTGTTTCTGGTTTCTTAGCATCTTTCCCCTCATTATGTAATAGAGGTTTCTAAACAAAATAGTGGATTTACTTGTTTTCATTGTTATCTCTACTCCTTTGATCTAACAGTTTTCCTATGTAGGAACTATTAGTAGTAACAGATTTTAAACAGAAAATTTTAGAATTACTTGTTACCCTTTGAATATTTTTTAATTGGAAGATTAATACAGATGTACACTTGGGTGTACACAGTGGTTGCCTTTGCATTCTAAGAAAAATGCAAATTTAAGAAAATAAAAGTAAAGGGGAAAAAAAGCAAATGTTTACTTTTCTAAAGGATGGCCACAAATTTTTAATCTGAAAAAGTAATATGCTTAGTTATAGGAATACAGATTTCTAGTTTTGATAACAAGTCTTTGTTTCATTTTAACACTTTGAATAAAATACTAGTAATTTGTTAAAATTATATTGACTTTGTTTACTATTTTTGTAGCACCAAGTTATACTTTGGTTTCCATGGAATCACATAATTTGGCAGTAATGAATGCATATTGGCTTTTACTATCTTATACTATCTTATATAAAGATAAGAGATAATTTTAAAACTATGCTCATGAAAATTTGCCTTGCTCTAAACTTGAGTCTGTGAATTTTAAGATTATATTGCAAATAATACAATCTAATCTAATAATAGACAAACATGGTAATTGACCATACCTCCGCTACGTTTCCCATTGGCTAATCAGCAGGATATGCAAATTAACCCAACCAAGATGGCGGCTGGCAGCCACACAGCTGAAGTGAGCAGGAGGCTTGCTTGCTCCAGTGATGAAGGAAGCCAAGCTTCCTCCCTGCTGCAGCTGGGCTCTGAGCTCCACTCTAAGCAACACAGTTGCAATTATAGAAGCTAAACAAACCCCAGATATCTGCTTTCAGCAGGCTGTGGCCTCAGAGCTGGAGTGGCAACCAAGTTACAATTACAGAAGGTAAATAAATCCCAGAATAAAAAAAGAAAAAGAAAAAAAAGGAGAGGCTGGGAGCTTCAGTTGCCAGCTTGGTCAGCCTGAAAACAACCATCAGCCCCTCATCCAGACTGGCCAGGCACCCCCGTGGGGACCCCCACCCTGAGGGGGGGC